TGCCCCGTCTACCTGCGGCTGGTCGAGTCTTCTGGGGCCACCACAGGGTTCTGCTCCCTTGCCCTCTCTGCACGTGGTCACCAAACATGGCCAGAAACTTGTTGTGATGCGCAGAGCACCCGCGTGCCTCTCTGCTCTGAGGGGTGGTGGCTGGCAGACCCCTGCCCGTCCTGCTGCCTCTCCTGACTCTGCCTCTCCCTCCTGCAGCTGAGGTGACTTGTGCCCCCAACCAGTTCCAGTGCGCCATCACCAAGCGCTGCATCCCTCGCGTCTGGGTGTGCGACCGGGACAACGACTGTGTAGATGGCTCAGACGAACCCGCCAACTGCAGTAAGAAGCCTGTGCAGGGCCGGGGGGGGTGGGGGGGTCTGGCCACACTGAAACCAGGAGCTCCCCCACAGCCGGTCACCTCTGTGTCTTTGCCTGCGGGATGGCGGGTCCCTGCTGAGTCCCTGCAGGTGCTGCGGGCAGTGGGTGACGGTGGTGATGACTCTGCCTGGATCTGTCCCACTGAGATACTCCTCTCTCTGAATTCTCCCCGGAGAACTGTTTGAAAAGGGGGGTCTTGCCCGCCCTGTTCCAGGCAAGGGTGCTGCTGTCGGCTCCAGGCTGCTGGAACAAGGTGTTCATCAGCCCCGTGGAGAAAGAAACATGCGTGGCCAATGCTAACCCCACCTCCCCTCCCCATGTCCATGTCATCTTGTCTCTCCCCACCAGCACAAATGACGTGTGGTGTGGATGAGTTCCGGTGCAAGGACTCGGGCAGGTGCATCCCTGCGCGCTGGAAGTGTGACGGGGAGGACGACTGCGGGGATGGGTCCGACGAGCCCAAGGAGGAATGCGGTGAGCAGGGACTGGGGCTGGGGAGACGAGCCCAGAGGGAAACTTGTGCCCCACACCCTTCCCCGGGGGTCAGGCTGCCCTGGCGCTATCTGTCCCCTCTACCTCCCTGCTGTGCCAGGGCTGGGGGAGGGTTTAGCAGGTCCTTTTCGGAACCGTGTGGGCAAGGCCGGGTGGGAGGGCGGCTGGCAGAGAGCAGTGCTGCCCAGCACGCCGGCTGGCATGCCCACCCCTCACCTTGTACGGGGGCAGCACTGATGCCTGTCACTGTCTCGTCCCTCCCAGACGAACGCACCTGTGAGCCCTACCAGTTTCGCTGCAAGAACAACC